TAGCAGTTCAGAAGCCATCAAGTCGGATCTGAGTTCACCCTCACCGGTTCGCTCCAGATCTGAGCCCATTCTCATCAGATCGTCCCGGATCTGGAAAAGGACCCATCAATAAATTATTATATATGTTACTTCTTTTTTCCAACTTCAACAAAATATATAATTTTTTTGTTGTACATTTAATTATTTTTATCAACCACCCGTATAGTAAACGGGTATTATACTAGTAAGCATTAAATGAAATCTCAGAATAATTATTGTTGGATAAAAAATATTAATTTGTATCTACGTCTAACTCTGAAGCATGATTTTTTGTCAAATAGGATTTCGAAGTGTGAGAGTTTGCCACTTAACCTCAGCGCATTCTGAAATTATATAGGGGGAATATCTTTCTTGTACAAACCATCTATTTATAAGATATCTCAATATCATGTACATGGATGCAATCTCTAAATATGCATCCTAATGTACCTATCTATATCTATACTGAGACTGATTTTGTAAGAAAAATGAATGGACTAAAAATGTAACGCCCCAGTTTGATTTTAAAGAAATTTCGAACTTTTCCAAAAATCAAGATATAATTTTTTAAATTCATTTTTCGATTTCAACATAAACATGGGAATTAACGATCATTTCACAACATAGTTCAAGTCATATCTGAACACTCGGGAATTCAACATAAACATGGGCATTAACGATAATTTCACAACATAGTTCAAGTCATATCTGAACTCTCGGGAATTCATTACCCGGTTTTTCACATGGATTTCATTATCCCAAAGAAAACAAATCAACATGATATTCAACATAGCATATCTGCATGAATAACCAGTTCAACATGTTCCATAAAGAAACGAACCAACTCATAGGATTCAAAAACCAATCCACAATTTCAACATTTTCAAAACGTCATAGTTTGAAAGCAAATCTACATGTTTATGAAACCGATGCAACAGGTTAATAAAACCAATTCAACATGTTCATAAAAGAGCGGAAGCAAATAAACATAAATGAGGACCAGCCACTCGTCCCCTCGCTGTCATGTCTGCCACCTGCTCTACCTGAATTGAGGCAGAGGGGGGGACATGGGAGTGAGCACATACCACTTTGCTCACCACTATGCACATAAAACATGTATAAAATGACAGATATGTATGGTTGCAGCATGAACATAAATCAATCAACTTATCACATCTCCTATTCCATCATTACTTCTGTGTACACATCTTTCATTAGCCACCGAAGGGGGTTCATTACCCAACGGTGGGAGTACATGACATGGCCTCAATATTACCAACGACACGGCCTTCCATTAGGTCTTAGGGAGATGGCCTTTCATTAGGCACCGCATTACATCGACGAGGCAACCGTACCGATGGCTGAAACGGCACACATCAGTACGCTACATGGTTCACACATATACATTGATCATACCGTCCAGCAAGACATAAACAATTTATGGCATAAAAATTTAGAATAACCCACCTGGATATCGAAGTGGTAAATTTCACACAAAAGCAGGCACGTAGGTCGAGGGCTCAGCTCATCTAACACCTACATTAATCAAGATAGTCCTATCAACATACTATCCCGACACTTAGAGTCACACACAACAACATTCACTTAGCCGAACGTTATCGGCTAAGTGATGTGTGGAACTTTAGCGGAGTTTGGAACCTTTGGAGTAAACAACTAGACTCGAAGAACTAATTAAAAATCATTTAAGACAGACTCGACAAGGAAAAACGAGGTGACGGGTCAAAGAAAAGTCAAACAAGTCAGAAAAAGTCAAAATGGGGCTCGATTGGCGCAATCAGGGGCTGTCGGGACGTGCTGGCACAGGCCTAGGCACGGCTGAGCCGCTGAGGTACGGCCTGGGCACTGCTGGGGCGCGACTTGAGCACTGCTGGGGTGATGGGGCGCGGCCTGGGCAAACAGGGTGCAAATAATACTTAGGTTTTGGGAGTTTGGATCGTGGTTTTCATTTCAAATTTATACACATAACAGAGAACACAAAAAACACACAATTTCACAAAAGATTGACCTCTAAAAATCACCCTAACTCAGATAAATAATTTCTGCAAAAACATGCTCCAAAAATTTGAAGTTACGAGTTCATATAGCTAGGGTTCGAATTTAGCCATGAAATTTGGTCACAATGATAATCACCCAGAGAAACCAAAACCTCCATATTTCAACTCATTTCAGCAAGTGTACGGTTTTATATGATTTTTACAAGAAACAGGCTAAAAATCAAAAATCGCCATTTGCTCTAGTTAAACATCAAATTTTGACCTGATATGTTTACCACATAAACATTAATCTTTTTTTTTTATCATTTCCACAAAAATTAATATCAGAGAGCACACATATCAAAATTTCACATCATTTGCCTCAGTATAAGATTTTTAATAAATTTTACAAGTTACAGCAACATGCTTGACTTAAAAAATCCATAGCTCACAAATGCACTTCAAAATGACCCAAGGTCTTCACCACCAAGGACATTCCAAAGTCCCTATAACTCCAGGATTTCTACGAATTTCACACAGGTGATTCACTTTCAACACTAAACCGAAGAGACGACCATAATTCAACATTTATTCATAAACACATAATTCCCAAATCACATATAATCACCAAGACATCACATATATTCATATACACATAAAAAATAAGTCCAGAGTAAGCCACCTATTACCGTACTCCGAAGGAGAGACGAGAAAACAAGCAAGACTGGACACAGGCGCTCGGTGGTGGGCTCGACTCGCGCGGTAACAAGCGTATGTGCGTGGGGGGGGTGGGGTAGCGGACGACGATCACTGGCTGCTCGAACGACTTGTCGGAACGCGCACGAACAGGGGCCATGTGAATGGAGGTTCAGCGTTGATGCTTGTGCGGGACGATCGTCGGGCTTACGCAGCCGAGGAGGGGATCATCGGGGTGCACTGGACGCGGGACCTTCGCGATGTCGGGGCGACGCATGACTGCGATGGGGCGTGGCGATCGCGAGAGAGACAATGATTGTGATGCTCGGTTGTCGAGTGTGACGGGCGCTAGCGGACAACGACCATGGATGGCGATGCATGCAAGCAATAGGGGCGATGGGGGTTGATGATCGCCGGGACTGCACACGGTGAAGGTGCAATGGCCTGGCTGGCTCGGGTGGTGCACGACGGCCGTGAAGGGTGTTGGTGTTATATACTTAAGCTTTGCTTTAGTGGATATTACACTTGTTATTTCT